CAGTTTTAGTGGTAATGTTGGTTGGGTCCATTTGTAATCGGATACTAACAATAGTGACCTTATTCCAAAACTGCCAGGCGCTTTTCATGTGGGCTCTTCGTTGGAGAAAAAGCGGAAGCCGCTTCTTTCTGATAGTTTTTGTCGACTTAGATACAACGTTTGGAGAAGTCTGTGAAGTGTTGTTAACTTTTCTTCATTGATAAGCCAAACCGAAGCTGCGATGCACTTGTCATTCGAATAACGCCTCGGCGTCTTCGCCTTTCCAGAACCGAAAAAATTCGAGTCTATTGTTCATGGCCGTTCGTTCTCTCAATTTGAGTCTTCTTAATCGCATTGAGTCGAATCTTTAGAGCTGAGCCACACTCCACTGAATTCGACTCCGTTTCAGTACTGAAGTTCCACATCCCAAGAGGAAACTACTGTTATGAGCATTCAACTCTAATCATCGTACTTTTAAAGGAACCGATTGCCGAAACGTTAGTGAAACACAATTTCATAGCAGTCACGCGTTAGCTTATCAATAAAAAAAGCATTGGTTCTATACATCGTGTTTAAATGAGGACCAATCTACAAAAGTGTCATTATTTTTATTCAACACTTGAACATAAGAAGGTAGTATATATTTTGGATATGTTAATGTGACGTTCACGAAGTCCATATAACGTAGTGGCTAAAGACACCCTCCAATATACACATCTTGTAGGTTCAATCCTGCGCCCAGGGTAAGCCAGAGCCTGCCTTTAACCATAGTCATCGAATTGTTACCAGACTTGCATGGGACGGTAGAAAACGTGGAGGTAACATATCCATAAATCTCCAGAAGTCACTATGTGGGGTAACACTACGTTCAATCACCTCTGTGATGCCTAATAAAGTCGAGATCGGATGTATGTTGAGTCCCCGAGAGACTGGTAAAAGTTGAAGTGTTCGGCTAATACCGTGTAACTTCGTCACGACGTTTCACTTTCTGTCTGAATAAAATTTTTTATCAAGCTAGTATCAAGGGCGCAGTGGTCGGAGGCGCCTGCAACACACACGTGGAATCGATTTCCGCGCGCGACCCTGGCCAGCCAAGCGTTCAGTCCTTCCGGGTTCGGCAAATTGATACCAGACTTGTCATTGGCTCCATACATCGGTAGATCACCTCGAGTGTTTATAAAGACCAGGAAGTCGAATGCATGGCGCATCTTTCAGGGATTAATCAACACCGAGAACTTTATCCTTTAATTCATCAAACCATTGCTAACTTGTCGATGAAGGAATTTATTTCAATTCCCAATTTAATCTTTCAATATTGTGGCGTGAAAGAACAAAGTAAGTATGCACGGCATTCTTCGTTTCACCAGGAGTGCCTCACATTAAATCAGTTTCCATGGGACATCTGGCAGTTAGTACTAAATGAGGGCTGAGGGAGCCACACCTATCGAAAGAGGTGAGTGTACAACGCTAGTTTTGTTAGCAGAAAATTTTGATGAAGCTTCCATTACGTTGCCATTACGTTGCATTTGCAAAACTCTGGACCGCAGATGTCGTGGGAAACGAACGCACTATTGTCCTTTCCGAGAAGTGACGCGTTCACCATCACATCATGCGGGCCCTTCGTTTCGCCTGTCTCTCAGCTAGTTCTATCGATCAGCGCCATCAGCAATCACCCGTCAACGGAATTGATCTGGGAGCCCACATTAGCATTGAACCCAGTTAAGCTAAGGCTATAGTTGAAATCACAATGTTTTACCTTTTATTTTCTGCCTACTACAATTTTCACGGTAGGGCACTAAGCGAAAAACAACCACAACGTTGCTGAGGTATTTGCAAAACTCTGGAGCTGAGAGACAACCGAAACGAAGGACCCGCATGATGTGGTGGTGAACGCGTCACTTCCCGGAAAGGACAATAGTGCGTTCGTTTCCCACGACATCTGCGGTCCAGAGTTTTGCAAATGTCTCAGCAACGTAATGGAAGCGCGTTCGTTCCCCACCATCAATTCAAACAATTAGCCATCGTCGATGGTAGTGCATCTTACTATCGAACTATAATGCACCGCCGGAAGTTTGATAAACCTACAATACGGCTGCTCAAAAATCAATGCTCTGTATTTTCGTGTGAACTCAGCAGCGAGTAAAACAATGCTGGAAGAGCCAGAGAAGCTTTCACTGTGGCTACCAAGACCTTAAAACAGAAAAACAGAATGACTTCTTTGAGGTGTGTGGCACATACAGTTCATTTTCCTGGAGCAGACAGGGTCCAATGAGCAGCAATGACGCTTAACAGGAAAAAAAAACTCGATACTCGCTCAAAGCACTGAGTGATTATCGTGATAAGATTTGAGAAGGTTGGATCGATGCTGGTGGGATATCTATAAAAGAGTAGAACTCCAAAAGAAAACTTCCTCGAAACGAGACAGGTTTAGCCGTACTGGTTATAACGATTATGTTATGAACCGATCGGATTGCAATCATCAATGTGAAAGGTTCGCTCGCCAACTAGTCCTCTAATGGTTTCCTTGACTGTGGTGAAATATGAACATGGCCATCGATCGCCTCATTAGCCAATTTCACAGCACTTTTTTAAACTTTCGTTCGATTTAATAGTCTTTGGTTGGCTATTCAATGTTAGAAATTTTTACCACAAATCGTCTGACACATGTTGTTTGGCGGCTACGTTCTGGAGCTCCTGCTCACGATGGCTGCAAGATTATCTGTTGCCATCGGTTCTGGTAAGGCAAAAGACTAGTTTTCTCAGGTGCTACTGCCTGGAAAAACTGCAGTTCAACCTTGTTTCTTGTAACACTTTTCGTTGGTGGATAGCTGTCACAAAAAATTTAGCATTATGTGGCGTTAAAAGTGGTGAACATCATTTTAAGATCTCGACTGCGGGAAGCCACAGGACAATTCTATGAGAAGCGAGTTACTAAATTATCATATGTATCTTAAAATCATAGCCGAACGACCGACGAGGAACATGGTATGAAATCCATTTATACAGCTTTCAATTCACTTTGTTTTTATGTGCATGTCGAAGTATATGTATACATATGTATATACTTGATAGTTGAATGGCCCGTCCTCATTAGTTGTGCGGGCCCCAGCATCACCTCCATTTTTCGGAGATTTGCTGGCTAAGCAACTATGGTTCCCTGGAGTGCCGACGTCAGCCTGGCCAAAGTCTGCCCCAGGTCTTCACCACCACGGGAAGTCGCAGCCCTTCTGGATCAGAGGTAGATTTGCCACCATGCGACTTTAGTACTAGGACGGTGGCGGATCCTGGTATTGGTTTACGCTTACTGGGCTTCCTGATGGAAACACCGGACTCCTTCTCTAGCTGAGAGACCCTGCCGAGGGGACGAATCCCCCCGCTGTACATCGCAGTCCGACACCCACGAACACCTCCCAGCCATGATGATGCGGTAAACCGCTGCGGTATATATATATAATGCATATATATATATATATATATTTACATAAATCCACATGAAGAAGCCCGAAGTCCTGGGTGGAATACAGGTGCGCGCAATTGAACCGAATAAAAGAAGTGCTGTAATCGGCATATTAATTGACCTTGAATGAAATAAGCAAAAATAGAACAAAAATAAAGGTAATCTGCATAAGCTATCATTGGATCTCTTATTACTAACACTTCTATCATTTCTTTAATGGATGTTAATTCTGCTAAGAATAACAGCTTTTGAAATCAACGGGAACACAACGATTTCTTGTAGTAGTTATGTTATGCAAAATTCATTGAGGACTCGAATGCAGTTAAGAACTGCAAGGCATTGTTATCTGCCTTAGAGAAACACAAAAAAGCGGATAGCACAGTGGTGGTGATGCCCGTTATCGTGAGCGTGATCCTAGTTCGATTCCACTCCGAGCCAACTATATATATATATATATATATATATAATAATTGGCTGCAATTCAGTCATGTATTAGGTTTCACCTTCTTCGGGAACATATAAACACTTAAGTGATAAGTCGATACTTTACGGCAGGCTAATATAAAGGCTAGGTATGTATTTAAACACTCTACGATTAGGGGAAGAAAGTCGAATGCACGGCGCATCCTTCGGAGATTGGTCTGCACCTACTGTCCTTACCTTTGGCTCTTCATAACAGAACAAATACGAAAAATACCACTGTGATTTCTTGGAACTCCTTGAATATCGAGACATATTTAGACATGGAGCTGTGACCTGGAGAAGAAAGCAGAAAAATTAGTTAACAGTTGTCCAAGGGACCGTCCCAACGTCTCTGAAACAACAAACTTCGGACGGTATCAATAGACCATTTTTCGAGTTACTATCAATATCAGCTCAGATAAAAACAATATGCACGCTTCAATTGTGATGCTTCCAGACTTGCCCTCAATACCAGTGCTCAAATCAAATCATACCTAGCAAGGAAAGTTATGCAATTATGGGCGAGTGGATCCGAACGTGAAATAGTACCGCTTTAACTTTTGTAGAAACAGAATTTAAATTTAGCGCTTTCGATCTTTGCAGATAATTCACCCGAATACGTCTGTAGTTGGTTGTTCACTTGTCAAATGCAATGAGACCGTCGGAGGGTCTACTACCACTGTCATGGCGTGTTTGTACGGTGACTAGTGAGTTGTCTTTCTTCACATATTTCCACTCAATCAGTCCTTTTCGGTGTCCGATCTTTCTAGTAACATGACAGTGTGCAGATCCCAGAAAACATCATTCTTGGTTACTAAATGAACTACACTTCTATTTCGCCAGGTGTTCTTAGAGCCTCTAGGGCTTTTCGAAGAGATTTCTATCTAGGGAGAATATTCTCCAATAAACTATTCCCTAACAAATGCTCGATTCAACACAGGTAAAATCTTTTAGCGGGCATTTAACAGACGCAGTCAAGCACTTTACCGCTGCTAAGACTTTGGAACCTACTGTAGAAATTTGTTCACTGGAATCATCTTTGGCAGAGGTTACATCGGCGTGAGGGTGCTAAAAAATGATAGAAAACAAAAGAGAAGTAAAGTCAGATTTTCTCCGTAACCCAATCATCAGTGGTAGATTTCTTCAGTGAATCGCAAGAAGACAACAACATTACGCCAAAGTGGACAGCAGCAACAACAACAACAGCAACAACAACAGTAGCAACAACGACAACAACAGAAACAACAGCAACAGTAACAACATCAAAAACAGAAGCAACAGCAACAACACCAATAAAGGCTACGATGACTACTGCTAAGCCTCCAACGAAATCCATGACACTCTGCAATGGAACAACGGATGAAACCTTGAAGAGCTACACATTGGACATTCATAACGGAATTCGTAAAGCGAGTGGATTAAATACGGTGGTACTGTGACACACGGCTTAAATAATCTTTTTCTTTCCGTTTCTTTGCTATTTCGAAAAAAATTACTCCTCTCTTTTGCTTTCGACCCAATCCTTTCTTAAGACGATCCAAATTTCTCTCTAGTTGGCTTTTTGGTATAACAGAAGGACTTGGAAACTTGTAGATTCAAGGATCCTTTGTGAATATGTAAGTGGTGAGTAATTCACCGTTTCCTTGACAAGCAAGTATTGTTACAGCATTTGTTCGCCTTCATTCGGAGTTTGGAAAGGTCCAATTGACAGGCAATCCATTCAACCGGCCACTCACATGTTCAGCAGATAATATTTTACAGATAAATTTACATTCGCATAGTAAACAGGTTCCTTCAAGCATGTTTTTTGTAGGCTCCATAGTTATTCCTGGTTACTAGAAGAACAAGGTTTTACATGAGCGAGGAAATTGCCCAGCTTAGGTCAAAAATCAGCCCTAAGGTGTGGCGCTTGGTCACGCGTGATCACAAAGCACTTGCCGTTCTGAGGCTCATTTTTGGAGTTTTCGAATTCATTCAAAACGCTTTAAAAGTTTTCCTCGCTAAAGTTTTGGATAAAATTTAGAGAATTTGGTAACAGTGATTAAAGTATCTCCGAACAACCGCATCGTTGCTGAGATATTTGCAAAACTCTGGACCGCAGGTGCTTTCGGTGGAGAACGAACGCGCTATTGTCCTTTCCGGGGAGTAACGCGTTCACCACCACACCATGCGGGTCCTTCGTTTCACCTGTCTCTCAGCTATTCGTTTTCCACCATAGACACCTGCGGTCCAAAGTTTTGCAAGTATCTCAGCAACGTTGTGGTTGTATTTCGCTTAGTAACCTGCCGCGAAATTATTGCGGGCGGAGAATAAAAAGGTGTAACATTGTGATTTCAACTACATCCGCAGCTTAATTGGGTTCTATGCCGATTTGGGCGCCCCAGATCAATCCCGCTGACGGGTGATTGCTGTGACAAAGATCGATAGAAATAGTTGAGAGACAGGCGAAACGAAGGACCCGCATGGTGTGGTGGTGAACGCGTTACTCCCCGGAAAGGGCAATAGCGCGTTCGTTCCCACTATAGACAGCTGCAGTCCATAGTTTTGCAAACATCTCAGCAACGTTGTGGTTGTATTTGGCTTAGTAGCCTGCTGCGAAATTATAGTAGGCAGAGGATAAAAAGGTATAACATTATCTCCGAGCACTCTAAGACGTCAGCTAGTTTGTGTCTGCTTGTATGACCGTCTATGCATAACGCAAAATTGCATAGTATGTCTTAACGCCAAGAACGGTGATTGTATGAGTTCGGGTATGGTTTAGCTAATGTCTTGTAAAGTGTTCTGGGGTAAATTATGCGAAATAGGTGTAGAAGAACACTCAGTGGGTGAAGTTAATGTTGAACCAAGTACTCCACTAAGTACGCACAAGACACAAAGATACGACGTGCGTTTTGAGACAGAAATCGTTATCACCGCACAAGAGTCGAAGATATCAAAGCACAAAACATCTAGAACGCTTCTGAATAATTACAAAAATCCAAAAATGAACCGCGTGGAAGAATGCTTTGTAATCATTCGTGACCTCGCACCGTACTTCAGGCTGTTTTTTGAACCCGAGCCAAGGATATTCCTCGCTCGTATAAGACTCTATGCGACTGATCTCCACCAAATAACTGGAAGATTTACACCGAGAAAAACGCTGTATGTTTAAAAAAAGCTGTTTATTAGGTGTATGAAAATTTATGATAAGCTTTCTCTGAAGAGGTTATGAGCGTTTGGGAGTAGATTGCACGCTAGTTTGATCATTCTAAGCTCTGAAGAGCGCGAATCCGCCGCGACCACAGGTATTTTGTAATGATAAATGCTGTAATACCAACATCGTACTTCTTCAAAAACATTTAAACATCAAAAAAGCAGTGAATGCTTAATCGATTTTGATGTTTAAAGGAAGTCGGTTCTGGGATTTGCTAAGTCTTTAGTGTTCACAAGCTGTTATGAACTCGGGATCCTCATAAGTAGCAAAAAAAACTTTTGTGGGCGTGATTATTGGCCACTTACTCAGTGAACTGAGTTTTGGTGTAAAGAATCTTAACTAAATTAAGTCATATTTAAACAAATAGTGTGATCAAATGTTTAGACAAGAAGCTGTGAACTTGAGAGAAAGGCCGACGAGGCTGTAAAGAATTGCCCAAAGAGTCCTCCAAGCGGATCGTATTCGGCAAACTTCGGAAGGTATCAACTATTATCTTTTGTGGGATTCATTTCTATGACGTCTAAAATTCTGGTCGATGATTTTCGTGTTATAGCGCACCTGCCTTAGCATTACTATTTCTTCGAGCATGTGTTGTGGTCGAACTACCGTTTCTCTGACATCTATTGTGCACTAGCACAACATAAACTTTCTACATATACTCCCGAGCATTAGTCCTACGTGCACACTGTTCAAAATTTTGAGGCATCGAGAAGACATAGATCTAAATAGAACTGGCGACACTAATGTGGAGCCAGGCTTTTCTTTTCTTCCTTATCACTTCTTCGATGGCCCTAAAATCTCCTTTACCCGCCTTTTCCTTCTTACTCGGTTTTCTGGAACTAAGCACTAACCCATTCATGACGAGTTTCCATTTAAAATGCGAACAATTGGAGCAATCGGAGATATTCTTGTTGTCTTGCGTAGAAGGAGCACTAATAACATTGGAAGGAGAAATTCGCCGACCTCATGCGCACAGCCACCGTGGTATCCTTTAGCATGAAACTCTCAAGAATAGAGATGAGAAAATCGTCATGTAACTGTCGGTTAGAATTCTTGTATAGGAAGCTTTCTCTTCTTGGCTGCCGAATGCCGATAGAACATCAGTTTCAGCGCTTTAGCACCGTAATGAACAATATTTGGTATTTCGACATCAAAGACAACCCGACATCAAAGAGAATTTATAACAATGGCTGCGCCTTGTACATGGTCGATGAGGCAAAATAAGTCTTGGAATCTTTCTTGCTAACTGGTTATAGTCAGGTTTCATCCAAAGTTTCAAGAATTTCTGATCGTCTTTTTAATATATGTTGTAACATAACTTGCGAGAATTTCGCATCACTTGTATCACCTCTGTAGTCCCGTTGATCGTCTGCTGGCTCAAGCGGGCTCTAGTAAATCTTCTATTTTTCCTTTTGCTTGCAAGAGTAGCCCAGTGAGTTCTACGCAGAACTGCGCATAGTCAGTAAATCGTAGTTCGCTGGAGTACGCTATGATGATTCCTAATGTTTGGATCTTACACTCTTGATTGCAAGGCTGACATCAAAGGGAAAAAATACTTCTTCCTTCGGGAAGAATTCTTCAATGTGGAGCGAGGCGTTGAAACCCTAGGTTCACTGCATTAGAATGGAACTCCAACTTTTTTCCCCTTCGAACACTTATTTGTTGACAGTGGATATGACCCAAACTTCTTGAATCAAGTTTTCGGTCTCAGATTTCTTCGTTCCGTAAGGCACATACAGAGATGGTTCCACCTAGAAACTCCTCGTCACAAAATGATTCATTACTTATCGGTTCTTAGGCGATGACAGGAGTTCCATGGTTGCAGCTGAGTAGAACAATCGCGCTGAGAATGTTAAGATTAGATTTAGCACGAAATGAAGGTATTGTGGTTGTGTCAGAAATCAGCCAATTTCTTTTTGTGAGTATACGATTGATCTGTGCAAGAGCCGTTTTGTTAGGAAATTGCTATGTTCATCGGCATATTCTCCTTATCATCATCGTAGTGAGTTTTAGGAACGACTATATGCTCTGTTTGGAGTGGGTCGAGTAGAAGAAGTGCTAAAAGGTAAAATATTCCATGTAAATGGGAGGCGTTGAGAGGAGCCTGAGTTATCGATATTGCGTTGTACGATCCTCTCCCTACGAGTAGTGGATTCAAATTCGCTTCTGCTGGTTTTTTTGCAGTTGATTTCTGCATGACGACCAGATGAAACTTGATGTGATCAGCAACCTTGAGAAAAGCTTGAATACCAGTGTTTGAGGAAATGTTTCTTGCTTTCATGGTGCAGGGCAGGAGGGTCTGTCCACGATCCTTTCAAAACCTTTTACTCTGATCCGGCTCGAATAATGTTCTCTGCAACCGGGATTTAACAACCTCCAAGCAGATGTGTCACCGCATGGCGTGGCACCCGATAGTTCCCAACGTGTAGGATAAAGCTGTTGCTTGTTTACCGAGCCAATTTTTCCTTTCTTTGTAGCCTTTCGCAACATTCCGACATGCTCTAACGTCACTATCATAAGCAGTCACCAGCGTAATCTGAATGGTATTTGTCATCCTACGACTGCGCTCCTACTAGAAATAGAGATTCCTATTCCTGACCCACGGACTATCAGATGTGGATGCCATACTTGCATGTTTCAATTTTCATATTTTTAGCTATAGCCCATATGGAAATGTCAATTCTGCAATGATGTTAGCAAGTCGGGTATTACGATTGTGGTCCTGCATGGGCGAATTTATTCAGGTACTTCCTGAATTTTTGCGAGCATTCGAGAGAAATTTATGGGTAGTAAATAAGAATTTATACAGATGACTAAACCGAATACATCTGCCATTGGATGCTCACTGGAAATGTGCCGAGGACCTACCGTATCAATGACTGTCGTTATGGCGTGCTTCTACGGCGAACCGTGAGTCGAGTTTCATCGTGTCTATGTAGACCTTCACTTCTTCTGAATCAAAACTTTTTCGTTTAGTGTCACTAATTTTTAATGGGTCTGTATGTTAAGGAAAGACCTTCACTGAAAAATGACTTTCTGATAAAAGGCAAAATTGAGACTCCGACTATGACTCCGCAATGCAAGCCATATTCGAACTCCTTACACAACACGAAGGAGAAATAAACATGTATGGCTTCAGGATAGAGCACCTGATGGCACTCTTAAAAGAATGCTTGGGCTGCTCAATCTTCAGATGGTCTGGAAAGTACTACGCTCAAATAAGAGGGTTGGCAATGGGACAACGACTGGCTCCAAGCCTTGCCATTGCATTTATGTCTAAGGTGGAAGCACCGGTGACTGATCTCGGGCCGCTACTCTACTGTAGGTATGTAGACGACTGCTTTGTCCTTTGCTCAACACAAGAGGAAATGGACAAATGCTTCGAATTGTTAAACGCACAGTCAGAGTATATCAAGTTCACCCGAAAAAAGCCGAAAGAAAAATGGCTTCCATTTTTGAACGTACAAATTCACCTATCAGAAAATGGCTACATTACAAAGTGGTACCGAAAGCCAAGTAGTAAAAATATCTTGGTTCATTACCTCTCCTCTCACCCCTCTCACACGAAAAGGGCGCTTATAAGAAACATGTTTCGAACAGCAACCAACGTGTGCACGGGAAGAGAGCAGAGAGAGGAGTCCCGGAACTTGGCACGGCAAATAGCCGTTTCTAATGGCTACGAAACTGTAGCTTCTCAGGATAGGCATCGAGGAAATCCCACGCCCCAGAGCGATAATTCTAGCAAAAACAAGGCTCCGTTCCTGTTGCCTTTTATTTCAAACGAAATAAGTGCAGCTATAAAACGCTGCTTAACAAGGGCCGGTCTAGAGAATTCCGTAAGAGTGATAGGTAGGCCCCTCTGTATCCGCATGAAAGAACACCTAGCCGGCAAAAATAGACCAAATACCCCGCTAGGCACGCATAGGACCCAGAGACATAACGGGGACGACTTCGAAGTATGTGTCACGATCCTCGCACGCGAATCAAGAACACAGACGCGAAAAACTCTCGAGGCATTCTGGATTAACTCCAGAAATCCGAAAATGAACCGCAGGGAAGAATGCCTCATTATCACGCGTGATATAGGGCAATATATAAAACTGCTTTTCTGATGTGAGTGGCACATTATACTTCCATGTGATTTCTGTGCGGTTGGTCTCTACGTGACATACTTAGTGGAAACCTCATAGAAAGTGGTGAGTGTGCAAAGCTGTGTTCAAAGTGATTGAAATCTTGGTTTAGAGTTTCTTTGTTTGGTTATGGAGGCGTCTGGCCGAGTAGATTGCTATCAACTTGACCTTTCCAGACTCTGAGGAAGGCGAAATCCGCCGAAACGTCAGCTTAATCGTGAACAAAGAATAATAACACCTCGCGTTTGCTCAACAAAAATACGAAGCAAAATTGAGATTTTAATAAAATAAGTGGCTAAGAGACAAGAGAAACGAAGGGTCCGCATGATGTGATGGTGAACGCGTTAGCCTCCGGAAAGGTTAATAGCGCATTCGTTCCCTACTGCAGACAGCTGCGGTCTGGATTTCTGCAAATATCTCACTATCATTCTGTTGTATTTCGCATAATACCCTGCCGTGAACATTGTAGTAGGCAAGAAATAAAGGTTAACATTGTAAGTAGGTGAAACTCAGAGAATGTTGTTCAAATGCAGTCAAGGTAATCGCCCTTCGCAAACGCTGTGTTGGCGTGGTGGAAAGATTTTAAAGGTTCCAAAAAACTAACAATACATCAGAAGTTTTAGTAAATTCAATTAACCGGTGGAAAGTTTTTTCAGTGAGGCACAAGATGATAACACTGCGATTGGAATTCTGTCGGCAGTAACAATAAAGCCAACAGTAGTGACCACCACCACGACAGCCACTATACCTTCTACCATATCGTCAAAAAACTGCAATGCAAGGAAGGATGAAGCCTTCAGGAATTATACAGTAGAATTCCACAATAGAATTCGTAAAGCAAATGGATTAAAACCGATGGTAGGGTATCAATGAAAGCGTAGTGTTTATGTCTAAATAGTCTCTCTTCCTTTTCTGAACCATTGATTTCCAAGAATTTTCACTCCATGTTCTATCACATTGGCAAGCATTCATGATTTTTTTGAGTTTATTAAGTGATATCTATGGAGTGGATAACACAGTAGTATGATGTCCGTCATCATTACGATAGTGCTCGTTGGATTCCGCTCTGGGCCAACCAAGCCTCAAATCCCTCCGGGGTCGGGAAATTGGTGCCAAACTTGTCTGGGAAAAAATCATTCCCTGCAATCTAGTTGGGAACGATCCATCCCGGCTATCTCAGGACTCCAGAAAGAATAGATGAAAATCCTTAAGCAGGAACCGAAGTCACACGCAAAAACTCGGAAAGTCTTCGTGGATGGACGATAGATCCGAGGAAACGAATTGGACGTTAGAAGTGCTGAGATCCGCACAGTAGACGTGAAGGCGAATCAAATAAAATAAAATAAAAAGTGATATCTAGAAAGAATAACCACTTGGTTTAAAAGTGCAATTTAAAAATATCCTTACTACATGTTCAGAATAGGAGTTGTGAGCTGGAAAGGATGGCCGACGATGCAGTTATTGGATGCCCAGTGAGTGCTAGATTCGAATCCGATGCAATGAACTACTCAAGGTGCCGATTTCTTTCTCTTCGATCATCTTTAAGACTTTTCCTTTTATTGACAATCTCCTGATTCAAATTAGCCCGCATAATCTTTTTTTCGTTCTCTTCGTAAGCCAGTGTTGCCCGAGGTTTTACTCCGTGAAGGCGCTATAGAAAATCGTTATGTTTCCTTCACGGAATTTTCAAAAACTCTCACCATTAGGGCCGTTGTCATTCTGCCGTGTACTTGACATTTTTCATCTTTAACACCTCATTTACGACAGAAATCATGCAAAAGTATAAAGTGTTTAGAGCCCCTTCTATAGATGTAGTCTATTCCCGTGTGAGGCCCGTTGGAGGCGCGCTGCAGTGGAGTCGAGCATCAGTTCTTTCTCATATTGAGCACCTCTTTGACGTTGCAGATGCAAGTCGAAGTTTTTCAATGGAAATGTGAAGGATAAAGGAGCGAAGATGGCGCAGTGGCTAACGATGTCGTCGATCAAGAGTTAAAGGTGGTAGTTCGATCCTGGCCAAATGTTCTCCTCTAATACACGTGGGAATGTCTGAGCTTGTCTATCTTCATTACCAGGGAACCTGACTCGGTCCACATTCTACGACATTCATAAAAAGGGCGAAGTCCTTAAACAGCAGCATATATACGAGAAATGTTCGAAGAGCCTTGTGGACGAGGAAACGAATCGAATGCAAGAAGTGCCGCGATCCACCCAGTAAATGTGATGATGGGTCGTGTAAAATTCTTACTTAATACTTGAATGGCCCGTCCTTACCGGTTTTGCGCGCCCCAGAATAATCTCCATTTTTCGCAGATTTGCTGGCTAAGCCGTTGTGGCTTCCTAGAATCCCGAGGTCCGCCTGGTTAAAGTCTGTCCCTGGTCTTCACCACCACAGGCACTCGCAGCTCTTGTAAATCAGAGGGAGATTTGCTACCACGCAACTTTGATACTGGGGCAGTGGTGGATCCTGGTATTAGTTTACTCTTAGCTGCGCTTCCTGGTGGAAACGCCTCTCTCTCAGCATGTGAGGCTTTGCCGACAGGATCAATCTCCCTGCTGTACATCGCGGCCCGACATCCAGAAACAGCTCGCAGCCACCATGGAGCGGTAAACCGTTAGGAAGGAATAACATTCTGTAGTGAAAAAGATAGCTACGATATGTATTCTTTCTTTGACGAGCTTACACGAGGTTGATAATGATATTTATTCATTTTCGGCTAACGTTTCGACGTCTTCGTCTTCCTCAGTGCCGATGATCCGAGTCGATGGTCCATGCTTGTTGTATCGTCTCGACGTTGCAGCTTCGCCTTCGTGTCGAGTCAGGTCTTCCTCAGTGAGCCACCTTCTCGAATGAGGCATCCTCACTCAGTGATGCCCTTTTATACACGATGCTGATGGTGGATATAATGATAATGTCTCGTGGTAACAACTTGTATTTGATAAGCTTTGATGAGAATAAATATCATTATCAACCTTTTGTAAGCTCATCAAAGAAAGAATACATATTGATTATTGATACTGAGGTTCAAGGAAAGTCGGTTTCGAAATATTACTACGCTTTGTGCTAGCTGATAATAACACCGACTTCTGCACGATGTGCGCAATGATGTATGTCCGGAAGAAATACAAGTTGTTACCACCAGACATTATTATTATATTCACCATCAGCATCGTGTATAAAAGGGCATCACTGAGTGAGGATGCCTCATTCGAGAAGATCGCTTACTGAGGAAGACCTGACTCGACACGAAGGCGAAGCTGCAACGTTGAGACGAATAACAAGCGAGGACCATCGACTCGGATCATCGCCTCTGAGGAAGACGAAGACGTCGAAACGTCAGCTTATTCGTGAATAAAGAACAATAACACCTCGCATTTGCTCAACAAAAATACGAAGAATTACTTGATCAATGCCGAGGTTAATAGAAAGTCGGTCGTGGGAGTTATAGCTACGATAGTTAAAAGTTAAAAAAAAATATACCGTCGGGAGTCATGTAAAATGAAATAGTAAAAATATTAAGCCTATTTATTGAGGCTTTAGGCGAAAAACCGTTTTGTTCTGGCCATATCTTCCTTCTTCCTTCGTTCATATCGAGAGAGGATCGCGTAAAAACTTTCCTTTTTCTTCTCAGAGAAGGAAGGATTTTCTTCGCTCATCGTGGCCGAATACAACTTTCACACGAAGAAGCCGAATTCGGATCAAATAGAGATTGATGGATAGATGAATAGATTGATGAATAGATTGATTGATGAAATTGAAGATTGGGATTGACTGAATTGAAGATTAGATTGATTGAATAGATTGAATAATTGATTGATGAATAGATGTACTTTGGATGTACAATGGAGACACATTTTATCCTTGCAAATCCCTCGTGTACAACCGTATAACTCATACTACGCAGCGGTTCCCGCTTCCACTTGACCTTATCACTTTTCTCGAAAAATGAATATAAACTGTCATGTTGTATGCAAAAAGTGAGCAAGAATATCTTTATTTTTATTCCATCGAGTTATTAAAGAATTCCGTCCTTCTCACTTTCATGGGCCGTAATCTAGAGTCGAAGCTTCTAGGAACAAATTAAGGAAGAGTTTCCACATTGCACACCTTTCCTCTGGCTGATCATGGAGATATCATCGAGTGCGGAGAACCGTGACTATTGACGATACCTACAGCCGTCCGACGTTGTGATTGTAAGTGTAATATAGCCAAACGAGAGTATGGGGTATAGCGTGGACCGAGAAGGTGGATATCGAAATCGTGGATGACGATGTGGATGAACCACAGGCATGTTTTTCTTCTTGGTTCTGGGCCTTCAGCACGGAGTATTACTCGTGGTCTTTATACGCATGCAAACTACAAAAAAGACAGCTCTGGATCAAATTCTTCTGGTGTTGTACATGTGAGACAGAATCAATTCCCGTAGTCTCGTGATTGAATCTTTTATCCCTTATGATGATTTCTGATATTAGCTTACTTTTATTTTTCTATGCCTTCTAAGGAAGGTATTTTTATTTAGCTTTGGAAGCCCTATTTCTGGTTGAAACCCAGCTATAGTTGGAAGTACCTCACTACAGTCGAATGCTCTTCAGTTAGACTGTTCATCATTGATGATCAATACATCAGCTCACATACAATAAACATGTTTTTAATGATAATAATAATTAGTAAAAGCTCAAAAAATAACCCTGTTTGTCCTAATTCCGACATTTTCAGCTTTAACCTCAATACAGTCTTTCATTCACTAACGGTCTTGGCTTGGCAAATCTTCGGATACTGGCGTAGTGGAGTCCAACTTGTGAAGGTATCAAGTGACCTTTGGTGAAAATTCTGAACAGCAGCTGAAAATAAACGTTTTCTATCTGAATAGATGACTCGGCCGAATGCGTTGTTCGTTGGTTGTTCAGTGAGCCTCTGTGAAAGTCCAACTAAAGAAAGGTGGGCCGCCATGGCGTGCATGTACGGCGAGAGGTAAGCTGTGTTCCATCACATCTACACCTAAACAAATTTCTTCATTGTCCCACAATTCTGTTCATGAAGCCTATGCGAGAACTGCCAAACATTAATTTCGTTTCTGAAAACATCCTCATTCTTACTGAATTGAAAATACTTTCGGCATTCATAGCATTCAAAGGAATATTTTCCAGGACAGACTTATCCCACCAACTGTTCTCCAATAAATTCTCCAGTTCACGTAGCTTGAATCGGGATGCCTAGGTGGATATTCAAAAAAGAGCCGCTGCTGTCAAGCTTTACATAGCATCTAGAAGTTTTTAGCCGCAGTCGCGTTTAACAGAACGTTTGTCGATGAGGTATTTAGTCGGTAGAAACAATGATCAAAAACAACCGATACTGTATCGAAAGCTTTTAACACAGCAATTTATCTGTAAAGTTTTTTCAGTGAACCACTCCAAGTAAAAAACGTTAGCGAAATCTCGACAATAAAAACAAATACGACAATAACAGCGACAACAACAACAAGAACAACATCGATGACGACATCTGCGGCAACAGCAGCGGCAGGAGCAGCATTTACAACAACAGCAACAGCAACGACGACAACAGCAGCGGCAGCAGCAACGATGGCAATAACAACAGAAAGATCATCACCAACTCCAGTAACCACCATGATGACCTCTAATCCTTCAACTAAGTCAGTGGCGTCTTGTATGGGATCGACGGATGAAAGCTTCAGGAATTATTCGCTGGAATATCATAACAGAGTTCGTAAAACGAAAGGATTAAAAGAAATGGTACTGTGTCGCACCGTTTCAATAATCATTGCTTCACACTTTTGTAAGGAATCTATTTCAGAATTCTTTTTTTCTAAAAATTCGATACAATCACTTGCGAGTACGATTACAGTTTCACTCATATTTTGCTAGGAAAAGATTTCGAAGACCCAAATGTCTCTAGGGTTTCGAAATCTCGCTTGGACCCACAGGAGCCAAAATGGATGCACTATAAATGTGTTACTTTCAATGTAATTTCGTCATTTCTGCGATTCCTTCACTTTTTCACAAGACATCATAAAGTGTTTAGACAAAATTACTAGTTGACAACTGCGAATAGCATTCTTTCTTGCTTGGTTACTTGCATGGCCCGTTTTCACTGGTTTTGCGAGCCCCAGCATAATTCCCATTTGTCCGAGTTCTGATGATTTAACCATCGTGCCTCCCTAGAGTCCTGAGGTCATACAGGCCAAAATATGTCCCAGGTCGTCACCACTACAATCATTCTCCACCCTTGTGGATGAGAGGGAGATTTGCCACCATGCGGCTATTTGGTACTAGGACGTTGACGGATCATGGTATTGGTTTACTCTTAGCTGGGTTTCTTGATTTAAACGCCTGACTCCCTTTCAGCTTGGGAAACCCTACCGGCGGGATCAATCCCTTGCTGTACATCGCAGTCCGACACCCAGGAATACCTCGCAACCACCACGGGTGGTAAACCGTTGGGAAGGAGTAGTATTCTGTTGTGAAAAAATAGTAAATCAGTTAAGTCATATCTTCATAGGTAATATTATTACACATTCAGAAACGAAGCTGTGAACTAGAAAGGAAGGCCGATTCCGCAGTTAAGAGCTGTCCCATGAATCATCCAAACGTATCGGATATGGTAAACTATAAACGGTATCAACTAAAATTTATTCCATTAGTGTTTTTTTTGGCAACACAAGTACCGAGTCAAGCGGTCGACAGTCTTTGAAATTCATTACCATTTTTTTTGCATTCCTCGCAGAGTTGATGACTTAGGTGAATTACTCAAGATCTGGAGAGGACGCTGAACCGACTTTTCTTTTCTTTCTGGCCAAATCGTCTACGCCACCGTCGGCTCCCTAAGCTTTAAGATGAATCTACTCTTGGGTCGTTCGCACTGAGTGTTGTTTCGAAGACTAATTCGTTTTGACAAACATCATCTACTTTACGTTCAACCAAAAGCCGACCTCAGCCGACTTCAATAGATGAAGCTGGTCAGTATTCGAAGGTGCTGTCAACGCAAGGAATTCTTCATATTCATTATCGAGGTGCCATATTCAAGTCGATCATACGTCGTGGAATTGAAGAGATCATGTAATGCAGATATTTCTGTGAACTGAGTGAAGCGTGTTTTTTTGAAAACTTCTTGATCGAACTGGTTTCAGCATAATTAAATGTTATTTTCAATTCGATGAAAGTGGCGAGAGCTTTTTTGAGACGGCTCGATGGGCAGCGTTACCTTTTAGATTTAACCCGTTTCGATGTAGTTTTCTTTCGAAATTGTCCCTGCTCGCCAAATTTACTAATCCTTTTAAGGAGACCTCGAAAAGAGTGATATTAAACTAGAACAAACCTATTAGCCAATAAGTGTAAACGCCATCAGCCTTGGCGAAAAACATGTGAAAGAAGATGGATGTAATTGTCAAATAGAATAGATGACAATTTTTTCATTAGCATTTTAACTTCAATGATACTGAGATATTCGCAAAACTCCGGGCCGCAGAGCTCTGCGGTGGGGCACGAACGCGCTATTGTCCTTTTCGGGGAGTAACGCGTTCACCACCACACCATGCGGGTCCTTCGTTTCGCCTGTCTCTCAGCTAGTTCTGTTGATCTCTGCCATCAGCAATCACCCGTCAGCGGGGATTGATCTGGGGAGCCCAGATCAGCAATGAACCCAGTTAGCTGAGGCTTTAGTTATAATCAGGCGAAACGAAGGACGCACATGATCTGGTGGTGAACGCGTTACACCCCGGAAAGGACAATAGCGTGCTTGATCCCCACCTCAGACACCTGCGGTCCGGAGTTTTGCAAATATCTTAGCATCATTGAAGTTATATTTCACAATATACTCTGCCACTAAAAAGAGTAGGCAGTAAATAAAACGGTTAAAATTGTGATTAGCATTTTAGTTTTAATGACTGTTTGCGCTGGTATTAAAGAATGGTCATAATAGCTTTCCATAGGTTATGTTTTTGATGCTCTTGCTGATCTCTAGAGCCTTAGCTTGTACGACTAGTTTCAGTGTTCTCTCCTTATAATCTTCATAAATCACTTCTCTGCATGACTTTGCTAAATTAAACGTAATTTGGTATGGGTCTTTCTTTCTTGAATTTTCCGATTTTCTGATCTCGTGTAGGCAGAGGGATTCCACCAGAGACAGCGACATTATACTCAAATAGGACAACTTACATGCTAGGAGGATCTTGTAGGTAGCCTCACAGAGTAATGAAACAAGCGAATATTATGATAGTTGTGAATCTTTGAAGCTGGTGCAGCAAATAACGATTTACATTTTCAACGTTGCTGAGATATTTGCAAAACTCTGGACCGCAGGTGTGCAATTTACATTTTGTTCGTTTTTGTTGCAAGCCGACGTTGTCTGAAGGATCTCACTCCAACAAAGCTTGTTGGAAAGCTACCACATTTCTCCACTGAATTTTCGAGAACCCTCTCCATGAGGGCCGTTGCTCTTTTGCCGTGTACTTGATATTTCTCATCTCTAATACCTCAGCTTCTGAAACCTTGTTTCTGGTTGAAGTCCAGCTATAATTAACACTACTTCACCACACCGGAGTACTGCTCAATCACAGTGAGACAGCCTACCATTGGTGAGCCATACACTAACCGTCATTCAATAAAGATAATTTAAAGATAATTTTGCTATTGGCAACGGCTTAAAAAAATAAGGTTGGTCTTTCAATCTCGACATTTTCAGCTTCGACCTCAACGTAAATGTTCATTCATTAACGGCCTTAGCATGGCAAATATTACGGTATTGGCTGAGTGGAGCCGAATATGTGAAGGTATCAAGTGACCCTTTGCGAAAATTCAGGAAAAAAGTTAAAAATAAATGTTTCTCATTTGAACAGATGACTCGACCGAGTGCGTTGTTCGCTGGCTGTGCAGTGAAAATTTGTGAAAGCTCAAACAAAGAGAAATCGGCAGCTATGGCATGCTTCTACAGCGAAAAGTAAGGTGTATTTCATCGCTTCCATATCTAGGAGGAATTTCTCGTTGTCCCATTTTCCCCTTGTTGACCTATAGGCGAAAACTTCGAAACCTTAACCTATAACGCTCCGCATGGACACCATAGTATCCATTGCGAATTGGACCACTATATGGAAATTGTGGTCCCTATGGTAAGTTAAAGGGGTTCCTGAGTTTTTTTTCACAGTACTACGTATACTCATTCGTCACTTAGTCGAAAACAGTTCAAAATAGTAGGCGTAAGATTAGACAAATCACCTCTACACCCAATAAATTACAAAAATATTTTTTTGGATATTTATTTACCGGCAATTTTACTAATATTGAACTGCTTTTTGGTTTTTGGGCGCGTGTGGCGCAGTGGTCGAATGCGCCCTCAGTACCATGGCAGCGATTTTTGCGTCCTGGCAAACGAAGCCTTCCATCCCTCCAGGTCCGCAAACTGGTACCAGATTTATCTAGGAGGATAACAGCACCTTCTCGATACAACGGTAGGCCATCGCGAGTCATTGTAAGGGTCAGATATGCATTGAATCACCTCCAAACGATGTTTAATGGAATCGAATGCACGGCACGTCCCTCAGGGATTGATCAACGTCAAGAGCTTTATCCTTTTTTTATCCTATGGAATGCGTGAATAAAAAAACCCCAAAGTGGGCTCAACATAGAAAGAACAATACTAGCAAAGCATGACAGCCATTTCATTTCCACAACCAACCGTAGTAACACAAAGTAAGTAGTAGCATACATATCATTCCCACGGAACGATGGAGCAAAGTCTTTCTATAATTCTTTTGTGTTCTCAACCCATTAAGTATTCTAATTATCGAAGAACTGTAGTACGCAGTAAATAAAAAAGTAAACATTTCGATTTCGACTGCAGTCTCAGCTTACCTGTGTTCGATGCCGATGTGGGCTCCTCAGATCAATCCCGTCGACGGGTGATTGTTAATGCCACTGGTAGACAGAGAACTACCTGAGAGAGACACAGAGCGACGGCTTCTGTGGCGCACTATGTAATACGCGAGCCCTGGAAAGGGAAATCGTGGTTCGATCAAACCCGGGATCCAAGTTTTGCGAATGTCTCAGGATCATTGTGATTGATTTCGTGTAATACCCTGCGGCGAAAATTGTAGTAGGCCGTAAATAAAGAAGTAAACATTGTGTTATTGAAGAATTATTTTTTATTGTCAAAAATTCTTAAAGTCCGCAGCCGATGGGGGATTGCTCGTAATCGGTAGAGAGAGAAACGAAATACACTGGTATCGGGGCGTTACGGGCTCATTCGGTTACTCAAAAATCCAAAGTCCTACTGAGTCGAGAACCCTTTTGCCATTTACAGCTTCTTAAAGAAAATTTTACAAGGGCAAAATTCTCCTGCAAACTGTTTTCCACTAAACTCTGTAACTCGCTTAGAATTAATCAATATTTCTAAGTGGATAATAGAAAAGATAGACGATTGCAATTCAGCTTTGCACTATAAGCAGAAGCTTCTTGGCTGCAATCGTATTTTGAAGGCTTGTATTGATGTGGTATTTAGCTGATAGAAATGATCAAAACCAACTGACACTGACACTGAAGGCTTTTAACATAACCAATTTATAGGTTAGAGTTCTTTCAGTGAATCACTCCAAGTTGAAGGCCACACCCAAATCTCGACAATGAGAGCAGAAAAGACAAAAATAGCAGCGACAAAGAAAGCAACAACAACGACGCCATCAGTAGAAACAGCAGCAACAGTAGCGACAGTGACAACAACAGCGGCGGCAACTACGACAACGGCAGCGGCAAAATCAGCAGTTACAAAAACAGCAGCGACAACAACGACAGCAGCAGCGATAGCAGCAACAATGACAATAGCAACAGAAAGAGCATCACCAACACCAATAACCACCATAATGACCTCTTCAACCAAGTCGATGACGCCTAGTATGGGATCGACGGATGAAAGCTTCAGGAATTATTTGCTGGAATATCATAACAGAGTTCGTAAAACGAAAGGATTAAAAGAAATGGTACTGTGTCGCACCGTTTTAAGAATCATCTTCCGGTCTTTTCTAAGAACTAATTCGCGAATCTTTTTTAACCCCATTCAATCACTTGTGAATGCAATCACAGTTTCGCTCGTAGTTGGCTCGGTGACGCAACGAAAGGATTTTGATGATCCAAATGACCCATGGGTTTCGAAATCTCACTTGAAAATGTGTATGGTCGGTTTAAAAAATTTATAGGAGCGGGTGCAGTACAAATGTCTTGCTTTCAACGTAGTTTCGCCATTTCCGTGATTCTTTCACTTTCTCACAAGACATCAAAAATGCTTAGACAAAATTATTAGGCGAAAACTGTGGAAAGCATTTGTCGTGAAAAAATAGTAAGTAGACTAAGTCATGTCTACATAATCATAATGTGATTACACGTTCAGAAACGAAGCTGTGAACTGGAGAAGAAGGCGGACGACGCAGTTAGGGGTTGTCCAGTGAGACGCCCAAATGGATCCGATATGGTTAACTATGAACGGTATCAGCTAATATCTCTTAGATCACTTTTTCACCTTTCTCACTGCGAATACAACGTGATTTAAAAGGGCAGCAGTTAATGTGTCCGTTGTTCTCTATCGCGTCACAGAGTTTTTTGAAAATCAGTAGTAATATTTTAACGTTCTTAGTGGAGGTTAAGGCTTAAGGGAATTACCCGAGATCTGGAGAGCTGGACACAGAGCCAGCTTTTCATTGCCTTCCTAGGCAAGTCCTCGATACTGTTGTCGAATCTCTAAACTTCATTATGAATCTACCATTTAGTCGTTCGTACTGAGTGCTACATCGATTTTGATAGGCATGATTTCCTTTACATTCAACCCAGCCGATACAAATCGATTTGAATAGATGAAGCTCATCATCAGTCGGAGGGGCTACCATCGAAGGGCTTTTTATATTCTACATCGCACTGCCTTATTGAAGTCGTCCATACGTTGTAGAATGGAAAAATCATGTCATGTGGATGTTTGCGCGAACTGAGTTAAACGTAGTTTTTCGAAAGCTTCTATGATCGTTTCCGCCAGTTTGAATGTTATCTTCAAAACGATGAAAGTGACGAGAACATCTTGTTAATAGATGTTAATCATAGAACATCTTGTTAATAGAATAGATCGATGGGCACTTTTTACGATACGCTGCTTCCTCATCAAGTCTCTCGCTTATTCTGATGAGAATCCTTCGAAAGAAGTAAGCTAAAGGAAATTGCTGGCTCGAAGGAAAGAGAAATCGTGAGCTTTGGGAGAAAACATATGAAATGACGTAACTCTCAAGTAGAATCTATAGTGATTTTTTACTAGCATTTTAGTTTCACTACCTGTTCTTGCTAGTATACGGAAAGTGGTGATCTTAGCGCTTCCACTGGAGGACTTCTTAATGATCTTCCTGGTCTCTACAGCTTTGGCTTGTAGAACTAGTGCCACTTTCCTTATGATCCTCTTAATCGTTTATCTGCATGACTTTGCTAAATCAAACGTAAATTGCTGTTCGGCTTTCTTTCTTGAATTTCGTGATTTCATGATCTCATTCGTGCAGAAAGATACTACCAGAGACAAAGACACTTTACCCACATAGAACAACTTTCATAGTAGGAGGCTCTTCGTGGAGTACACATATAACGTACTAAAGTAGCAAGTCGTAAGGTAGTTACGATTTCTTTTAGTCGCCCTTCTTTGACCGAATAACAACCTTCGCGGTCCACTTGTCAGGAAACGTTTCTTTTTAAAGGCATAATGTCATGTGGGTTAGGTGTAGTTCATTACTTCAAGCTCAAAGGAAGTGGTTTTTGATATTGTCTACTTCTAGAAATACTTCCACATTAGTGATCAGCACATGTGAAATCTCTCCATGGACTCTCGAGGGAAGAGCTCGTTTATGTATTTTCTCAGCACAGCATTTATCGCCTTTTCTTGGCGTTGTTGAAAGAAAATTGGGAAGTCGAAAAAACTTTAATTTGATGTTTCTCTTACCAGTTCAATAAAGTGGAAAGAGAGAATCAACATAGCCCACAAAGACTCTCATCCTCGAAGGGTTGGTACAAGAAATGTTTGGACCCAGCTTACTTGGTCAAAGCCAAGCAAGAATGCCTCATCACAGCTATTCTAAAACTCTAGAAAGAGTCGACTAGACCAGAATTCTAAAACATTCATAAAGAAGGCAGCAATCCTCAAACAACAGCCGAACCTTCACCTGGAAAATTCGAAGACCTTAGTAGATGATGAATGGGAGGGAACGAATAAGATTGGAGAGGTGTTTGGATCCAAAGAGTAGATGTGAAGATAGTTTATGTAAAATAAATAAAAATGATGTTGAGAGATCATAGTTATTTGTTATTCTTATGGCTCCCAGCAGCGTCTCGGTGAACTGGTTCGTCTCGGAAAAGCTTCGACCGTCCCTCGAGAACCTGCCTGTCCTCTTCGTCGTGGCCTCACTTGTCTGTTGGTCAAGCGAATACTTCCGTTCAGAATATTTTCACTGTACGCAGTTTAGCTTTCTCTCTTTGAATCCTGGAGTTTTTCCACGCATACCGGTAAATCCAATGTGACACTGAAAAGGTGGTTGTTTCATTCACAATACATTCACATACGTCTTTTTACTACTCTTTCTTTTTTCTTCCTAAATGATCACAGTTTTTCTTCATACTTGTTTTTAAGTGGAGCATTAGAATTGTGAAACAACGTGACCGTATTCTATACGAAATGCACTGCATGTGTTAGGACAACATTAACCTTTACTTGTGATGTCATCGGTCTACTATGAGTCATGTCAATCTATGCCTAGGAGCGATTTTCACTATGTCTAAGAACGATTTTCTACCTCGAAGAATTAATTTTCAAAGCACAGAAAAACATAAGATACAACAAGCACGTGGAATAGAACCAAATTAATCTCCCTCCTCTTTTTGGTATTCTGTTCGAATTCTCCAATGCTCCATTTAACGTCATTGACCTTGACCTAAGCAAGGCATCAAAACGTAAGTCCCTAGTATTAACTATGGGATAATTCCTCTATGTACTAGAGAGTCCGGTTAATTTCTGGGCTTATGTCTTCTATTCTCTTTTCAATTGTTTTGGAGGCGATGTGTCTATACGAGAGCTGGTACCTCAAGTGAAAATGTTGGTGTACGCGCGAAAGCAGAAGTGGCGAAAAGTGCCTCTTTTGTGGAAGTTTTGCTTTGGCATTTTGCTGTCCATGCAGCCCAAGATATGATTATCTCCGATCAGTTATCTTGCTAATTGACAATGTAGGCAAGAGCATTAAGGCAGTGTGGCAATGGTGCCTATTAATGGCTACACGCACTACTTCCCCTTTCTCTGTAACTTTGATAGATTTGAAGTGCTACTGATTTTTCACAGGCAGTAGTAGCACTTCATGAGATAACGATTATTTTCCAGCACCATTGAGTTTAATCAGGCTCCTTGGTGACTGCTAACGCCGGCTTATCCTAGGTCAAATTTCTAATTGAAGCAACGAACTCCTTTTGTCCTGAGAAGCCTTGCTTGTAAATGTTTCACCACCATTATGTTTTTACCTAATCCATTAAAAAATTTCAATGGATTTTAGAGTTCTGAATCGATTAGCACATTTTCAACGATAATATTATTATTGGTAGTCATTTAAGAAAACTGTTTCAAAGTGATACACTTCAGTTTTAAAATTTTCAGCTTTAATCTTAGAGGAACCACAAATTCTTCCATGTCAAGGCAAGCAATACAATTTTGGTTGAAGGGACACGAACTTGCAAAGGTCTCTTTCGAACTTTTGAGTTAATTTGAATTAAAATTCCTAAGTAAACGTTTTTCGTTTCAATAGATAACTCAGCCGAATACGTCGGCTATTGGGTGCTCGTATGCCATGTGCAAGGAACCCGACGATGTGATGGTGCTCGTCGTGGCGTGTTTCTATGGCGGAATGTGAGCTGTGCTTCATCGTATCTACAGTTTAAATAAACTCTTTTTAATGTCAAGTTTTTTAAATACAGATATCACTTGAGGATATTTTGAAGTGTTTCATCGATAGCGCAAAATGCCTTCGCTCTCAATGAATATTTCTATTTCTGTTGAGCATTCTTCAAGGAGGTTCCTGTAAAGTGCTGAACTTCACCGACAAACTACTTCTCAACATGTTTTAAATTTTTATATTTTGCTTATTATAATTCTCATAGCAGAGTAATATCCGAAATCAGCCATAACGATGCCGAGATATTCGCAAGACTTGGACATCGGGCCACATCGAACCACGATTTCTCTTTTCAGAGACTCGGGTATTACACACTGCTCCACGGTGGCCATCGCTCTGTGTTTCTATCAGCTAGTTTTCCTATTTACCAGTACCATCAGGAATCACCCGTCAACGAGACTGATCTAGCGAGTCCTAAGAGAATATCGTGGTTGGATCTGGTCCGGCGTCTAAGTTTTGCGAATATCTCGGCAACGTTGTGGTTTATTTTCCGACAGATGTTAAATTGGCCTATCGTGAGATTTCCAAGAAAGGTCTGATGATCAAAGATATCACGGTACATTTGAAGAAGCCATGGTGTGTCGTTGGTTGAAACTTACCTCGTAATAATTCGAATGATACGATCAGTAACCTAGAAAAGAAATAGGCACCAGACCTGTCTGAAAGAAGAAATAAACACGAGCTTGATACATCGGTAGACTTCTGCAAAGCGTTGTATAAGCTACATTCGCATTCAGTCACCTCCTTGATGCTATGTTTGCAGTCCAATGCACGGCGAAAGCCCTAAGGGATTGGTCAACTCGCAGCGCATTTTCTTCACTGCAGAATTCGATACACAAGAGTTGCCTTTGCCAAGGTTTATATATGTGCTATTGATGAAAAATGATAAAAGCTGTTGATAACTCCTTATTGGCTTTCATTATGACTACTTTTTCTGGTAAAAAACGTTTTTAACATATAAGAGGACAGAACCGGTAGAGCGATAACAGCGATACGAATAAACCCAGCATGGTGCACATTCAAGCTTCCAATGAGGTCGCTCATACACTGTGCGTGGAAATTTGTGAAATTAGAATTGTTAGCTATATAGACGTACATAGGTGCGCGTGTAACACGGTGGTATCCTGAAGTCAGTGACGGCGTGTAGTACACATGGAATCGATCCCCGCACCCCTGGCTAATCAAGCAGCCTTCCATCTTTCTGGGATCGGCGAATTGGTGCCAAACTTGTCTAGGAGGATAACAGCACTGGCTCGATACATCGGTAGGCCACCGCGAGTCATTGTAAAGGCCAGATATGCATTCACTTACCTCCAACGATGCTTAATGAAGTCGAATGCATGGCGCATCCCTCAGGGATTGATCAAGGCCGAGAGCCTTATACTTTTTATGAGACGGTTTGCTCCACTCATATTTTTACGTGTACCATTTATACACTGTCTTTTCAAATTTAAAAATGTTCAGAACTAAAATTTGAAAAAAATAGGGACAAAATTTTACTTTTTGAATATCAAAAGAAGCAACGAAAACTGAAAACATAATCGTTGAACTGAGAAACACCATCTTGTCGTGATGGGTAAAATCTCGCTGAGGGCAAAATGGAAGTGATGTCACTAACTTCAGGATACTCAAATTTCGTCGTGATAATACAAGTAAACTTTGATCCTCTAGTTAAAGGCATGTGAATTCTTACAGGTTTTGTCATACTCAATAATACTCAATAAAATTTTTGATGAGCTGAGGTATTGATTTAAATGTGGATCAGGTCAGTACTTCTTCACTGCGTGATTCCTGTATGGGTTGTGCTGTCGTGTAAGTGTTGAAACTGTCTGGATTAACATTCATTATCTTCTTAGATTTCAAACCAACGACGTTTATTTAATATGCATATGCAGTATGATTTCTCAAAAACGGTGACCCATCAGAATAGTTTTTAGCAGACTTGTTCTACCATGAAGACCACCAGCAGCGGCGTCTTTGCTAAACCAAAGGAAATGTTCCACCATCATTGGTCAATATTTCATTGCTTTTAGAACACCGTAAAATGTTATCAAAGTTTCGAAAAAATTATTTGAAAACGGTTATATTAAGCTTATACCTTGATTGCCGTAAGCAATGCTACTTTATAGTTCCTCTTACCTTTCTGGTAGCTGGCCAACGTGTCCGTTGCGTAATGATGTTCGCCTGTTTTCGATGGGACCAATGTTGGGCTAAAAATATCCAAAATCACTGCATAATTTTTTGCTATGTTATATATATATATATATGTATATATAATATCCATCAAAACGCTTTAAAGCTCGATCGTCTCATCGTGGCCGAGGAATATTCCAGAGTCCAAAGTGCAATGAGGAGTTCATCCCTCCAGCAAGACTTCCAAAATTAGATGGAGTTGGATATTCCCACTCGGAAGCCTAGATAAATGTAAAGCTATGGCAAAAATTATCTCCAACCTTGTATCAAATTAGTCTCAAGGTGGGAAATTTCCCTATGAGCCAGCAGGCCACAGCCTACCTATGGACAGTGATGATCTGAAAACAACTTCGGTTAGGCTGACCTTGGGACTCCAAAGAAACCACGTTGGGTAAACCAGCAAAGCTGCAGCGTTAGTATCTCCTACAATGTTCACTCTGGTCTACGGAATCGGATGGGCAGCAACCGATGAGAGCCGATCAAATGTTGGCTTGCACAGGACGTCATTGGAAACGAAGAAAACGAGAGCACCCACGATGTGCCATGGAGACTACTTCTTGCTCTGCATTCATAGCACGAGCACAGACTCGACAGGCGCCGATCTGTACCCTTTTCTAGCCGTCGCCATTCGCGTGAAATTCGATGTGGTTACCTTCCAAGGGACAGAAGCAGAAAGGCTGACACCAATTAGATAAGTGGGACCCCTTTGATTTCTGAACGGAAAATATCGTCAAGAAATCTTGGGAATTTGAACTTATTATTTGCTACCTACTCTTTTTATCGGTAAGGTACATATTGCGAAATATAGCTTGAATGATGCTGAGATATTTGGAAAACTCCGGACCGCAGGTGTATGCGGCGGGGAACGTACACACTAGGGAGTAGCGCGTTCACCACCACACTATGCGGGTCCTTCGTTTCGCTTGTCTTTCAGCTAGTTCTATCGATCTTTGCCACAGCAATCATCCGTCGGCGGGATTGATATGGGGGAGCGCAAATCGCAACGGCAACACTACATCCTTAGCTTAACTGGGTTCGTTGCCGATTTGGGCTCCCCATATCAATCCCGCTGACGGGTGATTGCTGTGACAAAGATCGATAGAACTAGCTGAGAGACAGGCGAAACGAAAGACCCGCGTAGTGTGGTGGTGAACGCGCTACTCCTCGGAAAGGACAGTAGTGCGTTCGTTCCCCACCGCATACATCTGCGGTCCGGAGTTCTGCAAACATCTCAGCATCATTGAAAATATAATCTTGGGAATGTTATTGCTCTCTCGTAAACGGAACCACTTTTCACTGTGTCACCTCGAAGGAGACCATACCACTATGGTTATTAATTAGTTCTTCTCCAAACAGCAGTCTCCAACTTCAGCGCTAATAGATGGTCAGTAACACCAACTGCTAATTAGGAGATAAAGTTCCTGGAAGCAGCTCAAAAATTAGCTAGTTCGAAAACGAGCTCTTCCTCGACTAGTAAGCCATAAATTATATGCATTTCTGCTAATCAATATATCATATCTCCTTTATAAGGAGGACTTCCTAAACCAGTGGAGGAAATAGTCCACGACCATCCCACCCGAAAGGAATGATCAAGCTAAATTTTGTATCTATCACCCGTTACGGTTGTTGAGTGTAGTCCACAAACTTCCCGGGAAGATTATCATATCGTTTATGTTTGCTCAATAAGAACATCGGGAACATATCATATATATCAAGGACGTTGCACGAAGCAGAAAAAGTTGAGCAAAGAGGATTCCAACAGGAATTTTACAGCATGAAACAAGTTCTAACGGTTTCGAGGGTAACACACGTTTGTTGGGAGTACCGACCACTTTTTTTTTCTATTTTTGCCTACTGTGAAATACTGTTTAACACCGTCGAAACGGTTACAAACCTATCAGCTGCCGTGGGCTGAGTAGACCCCTCGTGCAAGAACTCTTGCTGATTTCTAGTCCCGAAAGCCTAATTTTCATTGACTTCTTGCAACTCCTATAGGAAAATTAATTCGACAAAGCGTCACGATCTTCCTCAAGCTGTTATCAGTGGTTATGCAGTGGATAATAAAATTGGTCGAGTGGAACGAAAACGGCACACTCAATGATGGCAAATATTTGATGAACATTGGCTTTGCTGACGATGTGGTCATTTTTTGAAAAGCATCACCGAAACAGAGAGGACCTCCAGTAGGCCAACAAAGCGGGAAAAAGATCAGAAAGCGCATAAATATGACAATAAGCGAAGGTGAACAACTCGAACCGCGCTGTTTTCTAATCACATCAACTACACCGTGCGTACACTTCGGACGCTTAATGAACATGGTGAACAACGTTTAGAAAGAATTAGGCAAAGGAACGAGAAGAGTATGGGCCATATTCAGGCCACTCAGTGAAGCCACTGACCAACTAACAGACCTAAAACTCTGCACTTACGTCTCCAATTCAGCCGTCCTTCCCACTTGAATGATGTTTTCTGAAAGTTAATCGGCATGCACAAGGTTTAACCAGAATGTGCAGCTGAATTCTTCAAAACTTATCTCATATTCTGAGTCCAGGAAAAGACACATCGATAAGAAAAATAGATGAGCCGGTTATGTAAAAAAAAGGAACAGATGCTAGATAGATGGAAAGAAAGGTGGAGTGAATTTTAATAGAACGGAAGCATTCTTTTGGACGACAACCAAAACAAAGGGCAGACGTGGTTAACATTGGTTGACATCAAAAAACTGAATTCGCAAATGGAAACTATTTCAGGACTAGGGGATGTACTGGCGCATACCACCATGTTCGAAGTAGACCACCACCACGATCGACTGTCGTGAGAGAGTGAAAGGAATGGAAGATGAGCTGGAGTCCGCAATACTCGTCAAAACTGTTGAACCAAGTATCCAACTAAGTTGAACTATGCTGATTCCAAACTCCATTAAAGAAACTTTGTCGATAAGAATAAGAGTGAACAAATTAGCTTACTGGAGATTAGATGAGAAATCGTTAAAAATAAGAGACTTTCATGGATACCAGAGATCGCTTAACCACGGCGTTTTCAGTTTTATTTTTGCTCGAACCGCCATATTTTCGGACCATGTTGCAAAGAAACGGAGAGAGTTCTTTGCTACAGTCAGTGGAACCCCATGTGGCAATCTGTAATTCGAGACATTATTTAAGTATTATAAAGGCACCCTAAATAGATTTATAATTTTCAATCGTATTCAGCTGTAACGTTCTCAATGATGACCATCTTGTGGTGGCGAGGAATAGCCCTACTTCTACAAGCAATTGGATCACTGATTGGTCACCAAGGGTCAAAATGAGAAAAGCATTGTCTGTTGCCCGCACCTACTGGGAGGAAAAGGAAATTTTACAAATCACAATGAATTCGGTTTTAAGTACAACATAATTCAGACGTTAAAACCATGACATCTCCAACTTTCACCGCAACATCTCGGTTTTCGTAGGAGCCGAGAAGGTGCTCTATGAAAATGCCAAACTTCTCAATCGAAGACCTCCGTTTCCCACAAAATATTGTTAAATCTTAAGGACCACGCAATCTGCCAAAATTGGTTTTTTCAGGTGCGAAACATTCAGTACAAACGGACTTAAAATCCGCTTATACATTGATTTATACACGTTTTTCAAACAATCATCCATAGTTGTTGTGGGTAAAGGTGGAAAATCACCTTGAAGTTTCACTGTGGGAGGGTCGTTGAGGCGAACAGTAAAAAGGAGACATTTTCACGAGTCGAACTATTTTTCCGAATGTCTCAATGCCGATAACGTTCATATCGTCTTCTGCAGCCTCTATAGTGGTAGTGGAGATGAACCTGACTACTTATTTACTTGTATACCTGGACGGTCCGCCTTCACGAGCTGAGCGGATTTTCGGGTCCTTCAGTTGGTCGGTGGCCTCTTTGGCAGGCCCGAATGCTGCCCAAGCTGCTCTCCTTCTTCTATCTAATTCCTCATTCATGTTGTTTTCCATGTTCATTGATCGCTCAAAGTTAACGTGCGAGGTGGTCTCTGCAATGAGAGCCATCCAATTCAATTTTTTCGCCTTTGTTCCATAGGTTTTTCATGAACTGGATCTTCTTTCGATTTATGCGAAGTCCGATCTTTTTCACTGCTTCGTTGAGCTCGTTGGTCATCACCTCTGCTTCGCTAGTACTTCTTCGATGACAATGTCGTCGGGCAAAACGAATGTTTAATAGGAATTTTCCATCAATACGTATGCTTTTCTTATCCCAAAAAAACCTAACTAGCCACAATAAGTCATCGAGAAGAGCGTCAAGCGGATAAATGAAGATGTATGTGGTGTTACTCCCTTAAGAAGGAAGAAACGGTATGCTTGATGAAATAAAAGTTTGGTCGTGAAATGCACGATGGTATCCGAAAAAAGAAGGGAAGCTCACAACGAGACACTCGCAAAATGTGTTGTCACAATATTCTTGTCCTTTCTGCTCTTTGTAACAGTCGCTGTGCTCTAGGCAGCATTCATTTATGTTTCCTAGACGATTTGGTTTTATAGAGGAAAATATCACTTTGTATCTTTCTATTCCAATGAGTTATTTATTACCTTTTATTTAGTAAAATCCCATCTTGCAGAAATCAGGGAAACTTTTCCTGGTACATACCGAAGCAGATGATTTTTTTTACAATTGACCAAAAGCCTTTCGGTTTTCTGGGGGTATGGTGGGTCTGTTCAACCTATTAAGATGGCATGAATTTTTGTACATAGGCCAGTGCTAAAAGTCAGTATTCCATTTGTGCAGCGCTCGACTATGCTCGTTTCGACCACGGAGACCCATGATGTCAGAAATAACTGCTATCTATGAACACCTGAGACGCATCATTACGGCCTTGATGAAAACGATGACCCTTAAACATTATTCAAAAAGATCTGCAGCGATGTTGTGAATGCTTATCAAAAACTAAGATATGGATAATTCATAACTGGTCTGGATGAAAAGTCGACGTTGAAATTACTTTTTTTTATTTATTGGACAGTGTTCATTACACAACTTGAGGTCGATCTTTATGAACACCAACCGCCTTACTCGTCTCTGTACTGTTAGAGGACATCAGAATTTGTGTGAATACCCTTTAAAAGTCTCCATAGATGCCAACAAGCAGTTGACGAAATTCCCACTTGTGCTGAGAAGGCTTTTGCACTACTGAAACCTCTGCGATACTGTGCTTGGCTAGTTCACTCCGTAGTGTGGATGTTATTTGTTTAGACTCGCTCTTAATGCCTATCAAGGAATTTTTGCAGATGAAGCGAATAAGGCAAGAAATTTCAATTAAGAATACTGCAGAAAACCCACTAGGTGCTCTGTAATCTTTCGCAAATAATGTGAGATTGATTGTCACTAGCTATAAATTTCGCCTAGCAGTTCGTATAGCATGATAATCGCCCACTTTTTTCCTAGGATAGAAGGGTACAGTTTTCGGCGCTGTTCAATCCCTGAATGATGCGTCATGCATTCGACTTCATTAAGCATCGTTGGAGTTGATTGAATGCGTATCTAGCCTTTACAATGACCTCGCAATGGCCTACCGATGTGACGAACCAGTGCTGCTATCCTCCTAGGCAAGTCTGCTACCAATTTGCGACTCTGGAAGTACGGAAGGCTTGGTGGGCCATGGGCGCGAAGATTGATTCCATATGCGTGCTGCAGAGCGCCTCTGACCCCTACGCTACACGTGCCTTTTTGCTTTCTAGGGTGTCTCTAATTTTCTCGTCGACGAGTCCAGTCATTTTTTTCAGAGCAATGAAACAACCTTGATAATTATGTATTTAAAGCAAGAAGAGTCTGCTGCTTGCATTAGCTGGAAGAGTTATGATATAGAAGAACAATGAAAATGAACGAATGACTATAGGACTACTCATACGTAATGCCACAGCTGCAGATGAGAGCATTCCTCACATTTTCAAATAAGTGTTTGGAGGCGAAATCGAAAACGGGCTCTTTTGAACTGGATTATATTGGTCCGTCCTCATATCAAAAAATTGTGCTTTGGCATATAAATTATTAGTTATGAAATTATAGTAGGCGGTAAATAAAAAGTTGGCATTGTGATTTCAACAACATCCTCAGGTTAACTGGGTTCGTTGCTGATTTGGACACCCCAGATCGACCCCGTTGACGGGCGATTGCCAATGGCAGAGATCGGTAGAACTAGCCGAGAGATAGGCGAAACGAAGGACCCGCATGGTATAGTGGTGAACGCATTAGTCCCCAGGAAAGTGTAATAGCGCGCTCGTTCTCCACGGCAGACACCTGCGGCCCGGAGATTTTTCAAATATCTCAGCATCTTTCTTTTGTCAATTTTACACGAAACTTGCTTAATAGTAGCGTGAAACGTAATATTAAAGAATAACGTTCAGCATCTGAAGATCTACACCAGCTTTCAAGTGGTTAAGCAATATAATGGTTAGGAATAGGCCAATAGATTCAGAATGTGAGAAACTATCATCTATTATATTGAAGTTGTCGAGACAAAGATGTTTAAGAAAGACCAAAAACCAACAAAACGCTTACCTCTCAAAGGTGGACAACCTAATTCAACTTGGAGCTGAGCGAAGTACGACGTCGTGCTTTCCAAAGCACACTTCCATTCCTCTTGAACTTCTTCATCGCAGAGTGGGAGTGAGCGATTGGGTAGTGAGATGATCACAAGTGCAGCTACCAGTACGGTTCTCCACATTCTGACAAAATCTTAACACTGACTTTTCGTTAACTTCTGCATGAACGATCAACATATCGCTTTTGTTTATTCGGCTTACACGATTTTTTAGAGCTTTATTCCTAGTATTTTTTCGGCGCCTTCTCGTTCATCAGCCGCATTGGTCTGAGTCGATGATCCACAGCCATTTGTCCTCGCCATGTGGGTTTGCGATGATGACATCAAGCCAACTTCGGTGGACGGACACCGCTCGAATTGTGGCTTTGAAGAAGGTGAAGGCGCCAAAACCTTAGGCCATTAAAATTCTTCTAACAACCCCGTGTAAGCTGAGCAATCTGATGGACTTTATTGATTATTCTGACAAATAATTGTTGTCTACTAGAGTAATATAGGAATGTATTATGACATTAATTGCCACGTAAGGGTTGCTCAGCTGTTTTATGTACGTGTAATGCAAGTAGTAACTGTAGAATTTTATTAAACACCGTCATCGAAAATTTTAAAAGAATGTAACGAATACTAGTTTTGAATTTAGTACTGCCTATCACTGCCTAACTAGAAGTAGAACAACCGGATCGAATCAGCACGTCCATGATACACCGCAGAGAGTGCGCACTTATAAAACCAGAGCGCTATCCTCTGATCCCGATTTTTACTGCGTTCTAGATCGTCGGATAACATCAAACTTTGTGTAATCGCTAGACATGTAAAGCAGTAGAACAGGCATGCGCCAACTAGGTGACGGGGCCCTTACCCCCTGGACAAATGATCCAGCTACGAAATGTGATGGCGCCGGTGCTGTTGCCCATCACTCCATCACACTTGTCAGTTTGTACGACATCCTTGCTCCGCCCTTGGTCAGGCACCCAAACCAAACTACGTCTCATGAGATGGTCATCTGGTGCAGCTGGTTAGTACGAATTAAATGCCCTCTATTATCAGTTGGAAGAAGTAATCAGCAATCGCAATTTTTTTTTCAAATTTGTGGCTGGAGATTCAATTCCAGAATAGGAAAGACAATGAATAAAAAATCGAAAACTTTAGAATAAGAGAAGAAAATCGGAACGAAAGCTTTATCGGTGAATTCCTGTCCACCGTACGTCTCTTCCGTGAAAATTCATTCTTTAGGGAGGAAGAGGAATCTCGCCACTGGATATGGGTACCTCGTAGTGATCTGACTCATGAGAAGTTATCATAAAGAGAAAGAACACAGGACGTCTTTAATAACTCCGTAGTGTCATTCTCTACTGGAATTGATCATTTTCGAATGAGTCGAGCATTGAAAAAAACTCTTGTCGTCGTCCAACGAGAGAAAAAGTTATGTAAAGCGAGAACATTTTCAATGAAATTCTATTCTACCTTCACGTGAGCGCAACGCAGTGGTCGGAGACACCCTGCAGCACACATGGGATCAATCCCCGCTCCCCAGTTCTACTAAGCCCTCCATCACCCCGGGGTCGGCAAATTGTTACCAGACTTGTCTGGGAGGATAGCAGGACGAGCTCGATATATCAGTAACCCACCGCGAGTCATTGTAAGGGCCACATTTACATTCAATCACTTCCAGCAATGCTTAGTAAAGTCGAATGGGTAGTGCATTTCTCAAAGATTGATGAACGCCGAGATCTTTGTACTTGTTATCCTTTTCCTTACTGACAGAAAAAATTAAACGCGGCTGAAGACTAATAGTTATTCTTTCCGGGGAGTAACGCGTTCACCACCACACCATGCGGGTCCTTTGTTTCGCCTGTCTCTCAGCTAGTTCTATACATCACTTGCCATCAGCAATCACCCGTCAACGGGATTGATCTGGGGAGCGCAAATCGGCATAGAACCCAGTTAAACTATGGCTGTAGTTGAAATCACAATGTTTAACGTTTTGTTTTCTGCCTTCTATAATTTTCATGGCGGGTTACTAAGCGAAATACAACCACAACGTTGCTGAGATATTTGCAAAACTCTGGACCGCAGGTGTCTATGGTGGGGAACGAACGCGTTATTATCCTTTCCGGGGAGTAACGCGTTCACCACCACACCATGCGGGTCCTTCGTTTCATCTGTCTCTCAGCTAGTTCTATACATCACTTGCCATCAGCAATCACCCGTCAACGGGATTGATCTGGGGAGCGCAAATCGGCATAGAACCCAGTTAAACTATGGCTGTAGTTGAAATCACAATGTTTAACGTTTTGTTTTCTGCCTTCTATAATTTTCATGGCGGGGTACTAANCAACGGGATTGATCTGGGGAGCGCAAATCGGCATAGAACCCAGTTAAACTATGGCTGTAGTTGAAATCACAATGTTTAACGTTTTGTTTTCTGCCTTCTATAATTTTCATGGCGGGTTACTAAGCGAAATACAACCACAACGTTGCTGAGATATTTGCAAAACTCTGGACCGCAGGTGTCTATGGTGGGGAACGAACGCGTTATTATCCTTTCCGGGGAGTAACGCGTTCACCACCACACCATGCGGGTCCTTCGTTTCATCTGTCTCTCAGCTAGTTCTATACATCACTTGCCATCAGCAATCACCCGTCAACGGGATTGATCTGGGGAGCGCAAATCGGCATAGAACCCAGTTAAACTATGGCTGTAGTTGAAATCACAATGTTTAACGTTTTGTTTTCTGCCTTCTATAATTTTCATGGCGGGTTACTAAGCGAAATACAACCACAACGTTGCTGAGATATTTGCAAAACTCTGGACCGCAGGTGTCTATGGTGGGGAACGAACGCGTTATTATCCTTTCCGGGGAGTAACGCGTTCACCACCACACCATGCGGGTCCTTCGTTTCATCTGTCTCTCAGCTAGTTCTATACATCACTTGCCATCAGCAATCACCCGTCAACGGGATTGATCTGGGGAGCGCAAATCGGCATAGAACCCAGTTAAACTATGGCTGTAGTTGAAATCACAATGTTTAACGTTTTGTTTTCTGCCTTCTATAATTTTCATGGCGGGTTACTAAGCGAAATACAACCACAACGTTGCTGAGATATTTGCAAAACTCTGGACCGCAGGTGTCTATGGTGGGGAACGAACGCGTTATTATCCTTTCCGGGGAGTAACGCGTTCACCACCACACTATGCGGGTCCTTCGTTTCATCTGTCTCTCAGCTAGTTCTATACATCACTTGCCATCAGCAATCACCCGTCAACGGGATTGATCTAGGAAGCCCAATATATTTAATATAGTAGGCAGCAAATAAAAAGTCAGCATTGTAACTTCATTTGCCTAAATCGGCATTGAACCCAGCTAAGCTGAGGCTGTAGTTGAAATCGCAATGCTAACTTCTTATTTGCTACTACATACTGTATATTTTGGGCTCCCCATATCAATCCCGTTAACGAGTGATTGCTGATGGCACTGAGTGATAGAACTAATTGAGCGACAGGCGACCCGCAGGACCCGCATGGTGTGGTGGTGAACGCGTTAACACCCGGAAAGGTTAATAGTGCGTTCGCTCCTTACCGCAGACACCTGCGGTCCGGAGCTTTGCAAATATCTCAGCGTCATTGTGGTTAAATTATCTGCGTTCGTAAATATAAATGCTTTACGGGCCTCAAAATGATAATTGTACATTTCACTAAAGCGAAGCGAACCAAAACCATGGCAAAAATTGCTCAGAGAGAACTGCTCACAATATCGTGCAGTACAAGTACTCAAGTATTCAAGGGTGCACCTAAAAGATCTATGAAGAATAATAGCATGTTCTCTGATTCAGAAACATGAACTATGGTACCCAAAGTGACGTACATCTTTAACCTTACAAAACTTTTCGATTTGCGTTATCGCTTCCGAGAATAAAGTGCTGTTTGTCCTACTC